TGAGTGAAGGAAGCTAGGAAGTCTATGCCAGTAAGATGAAGGGATCTGTGCTAGCGGGCTTAGGGATCTGAACTGGAGCCAGGAAGCAAGATAAGAACCAGAGCATCCCTCTGCCAAAAAAAGTACCGGAGCCGCCCTCAACAACAGCAAGGTCCTGAGCTCCTCCAGCAACAAGGAAGGCTCAGGACCAGGATCAATCAGAGCCCCTTGAACACTGGCTAGAAATGTGCATGAATGCAACAAAGTGTGGGATTCCTCAACAAGTTAAAAATACAATTTCCTGTGCTGGGGAAATAGGTGGGCAATCTAAGTGCCTGCCCAGCAAATGCAAGGTGTTGAGTTTGATCCCTAGTACCACATGCCATGCCAGCCCCAGAACCCCAGGTGTACCATGTCAGCCCCCAAACCAGGCAAGGCAGCGTACACCTGTAATCCCAGCACTTGGGAGGCTGAGAGAGATGAATCACTACAAGTCTGAACTGCGTAGTGAGACCCTGTATCAACAACAGCAAAATACATTGCTGTGGCCCAGCAATGCCAGCCCGTGTGCTCACCCACAAGGACTGAAAGCAGGACCTCCGAGATGTGAAGCTCTTTCCTCCGCACGCACCGAAGACCCTTGTGTCCCCTTGAGTCATGCACCACATGGGGTCACCAGTGTGGAGAGGGCCACACGGAGTCCCTGATGCCAAGATCCGCCTCTCTGACAGGGATGAGGAGAAGTGGAGAGGTGAGCCCTCCTGTGGAACGTGGGTTCCACAGCCACGTGGTGCCAGAGGCTCTTGAGCAGCTCTCTCCTGTGACTCAACAGAATGTTGTCCTGCAGTCATGCCTTGCAGGTACCTGTGGGAAGGAGGCTGGGCTCAGCCAAGGCATTGTGTCCACCCTCCATTTTAAGTCACAGGACAAGGGATGTGCCACTGGGGCCCCCAGCAGGGTGAGTTCAGAGAGACCTGGGTCTGTAAGAAGCAAGGCTCCGCCCAGTGGAGTGCCGGCGACCCTGCTCCATCACACCCACCAAGAGCAAATCCCATCCCGTGTTAAAAAAGAAAAACAGGCAGAGATTTGTGTATTCATGTTTCCAGCAACACTGTCTGTGACAGGGAAAATGCTGAGCCCATCATCCCAGCACTCTGTGAGGCTGAGGAGGCAGGATCACAAGGGTGAGCCCAGCCTGGGCATCTTGGCAGCACCACGTCTTAGAAATGTCTTTAAAGCCTAGGGATATAGCTCCGTTAGAAGGCTTTAAGTTCAATCCCAGTACTAAAGGGGCTGGGGGAGAGGTAGCCACACAGGCATCCATCAGCAGATGAATAGACAAAATGTAGTCTATACACAAGGGCACGGTATTCAGCCATAAAAGAAAGATCATTCTAGAACGTTCTCTCTTTTTGTATTTAGTACAGGGTCTACAGGGTCTCACTACACAGATCGGCCTAGTAGTGATCCGCCTGTTTTCAGCCTCCCAAGCACTGGGATTGCAGGCGTGTGCCACTGTGCCCAGTCTCAGTCGCCGTCTCAGTGCACGCTGGGGCGGGGCCTGCAGGGCACACTGGGAATCTAACCCCAGCCCCTGCGTCTGCCTAAACAGCTGCTTTAATCTGCTGAGCTATTTGGCTGGCCCCGACCTAGAACATTTTAACACATGTCTTAACACATGACTATACATTATGTGTTATGCTTTCTGGAACAAGCCAGTCACATAAGAGCCACTACTCCGCAGCTCTGCAGACGTAGCGCCCTCGAGTACTCACAGGCTTGGAAACAGAAAGGAGGAGCGAGGGCAGGGTGATGGCAACAAGAGCGTGCTGGGAGCGGGTGCAGAGCTACGGGCTCGCGGGACGGAGAGCCTGGGACTGCCGCACAGAGGTGCCGTAAGGTGGCAGTGGTTGCGATGATAAATATTGATTTATGTGTATTTTTAAAAGTTTCCAAATGCAAATAATGTTCAAGGTTTAACATTAGAAAATTGGGCAGATTAGAAATGTGAGCGAGGACTGGAGAGATAGCTTGGCGGCATAAGCGCCTGCCTCGCAAGCACAAAGACCCGCGTTTGATCCCCAGTGCTGCATGTCGCGCTGGCCACCCAAACCGGGCGTGGTGGCGCACGCCTGTAATCCCAGCACTGGTGCATCGCTGTGAGTCTGAGCTGCGTAGTGAGACCCCGCATCAAGTAATTATTTTAAATGTGAGTAATTTTTTTTTTTTTTTGAGAAATGTAAGCAAATCGTATTCCCCGTGTGCTTTGCCTGTGGAAACGTTGTTAAACTTCGGGGGCTGCCCAGCGCTTGCTCCACAGCAGCGTGCAGCGGCAGCAACGGCCCTTGCACTGTCGAGGGCGTGG